ATGAAATTATTTTACAAATAATTTCCGTTATTGGCTGCTTCGCATCCAATAACTATATATTATTTGGCAAGCACTATCATAGTAAGCTGCCGGATAAATTCTAATTATTTTTATATAAACGTAAAGCGCCCAAAACATTTTCTGTCTTAAACACTCAAATTTTAACAAATTTTTTAACATAATTTAATCAATATGAATCGTCAAACTTTTAATTCTTTTTTTTTGTTCTTTTATCGATTTTACTTGTATTAACTATAATTGTTAATGCCCGTAGTAATATACCTATTAACAAAAATGCTCATAAACATGCTAATAAACATAAGCCTGCAAAAACTAAATGCTCAACACCAACACCAACACCGACATGTTGTCAATCACGTGGTAGTTCAGGGTGGAATGACAAGTTTCATGGAATTAGTTCGAAAGCATCTAGAGATGCTAATAGTACTACCGCGCAAGATTGCTGTAAAGCATGTATAGTGGATTCGGATTGTTTTCAATGGTATTTTTTTATTGACGATAATAGATGTCTCTTGGACCGCGGTGATGCTTGTTTAAACGGAACCACGACACCAAGCGAAAAAAGTGCCGAAGGTGGTATTATTCGTTGTAGTGATGGCAGTGGCAGTGATTGTAGATTTTAATTTATTATAAATTAATGTTAGTTATTTGTAGTAAAATAAGATTTACATGTATTAAAACTACAAATTGAGAGAATTTAAAGATTAGATCCACTTATTTGAGTATTTAGTTGTTATTATTTTTCTTTTTTTCATGATTTAAAAAAAAATTATTTTTGTGTTCATCGCTTTTTATTTTGATTTTTAATGTAAATAATTTAAATATTACTTGAAAATTTACCAGAATTATAATTTCAAAAAATATTTAAATTTTTTATCTATTAGTTAATTTTTAATTATAACTAGCACATGATCATATGGCGGCTTCGTCACCCACTTTCTAATTAGATATAGTAAGAAGCATAATAAAAATAAGACATTACCAGTAATGTCTGTAATAAACTTAAATTAATCGACTTGATTTGGCTAATACTTAAAAATTGATCATACCTGTATACCAAGTCGATTGCTTGTAGTGTATGTTTAAATTGTCTTAAGAATTTTCCAGTGGTCTTTCCACTAATTTCTTCACTTGGCCTTGCTTTACTATTTTCATAATTCTGAATACCTGATAAAAATTGACCGAATGATTTTTCGGTCAATCCGGTTAAGTTATTGATTTTGGCATGATCGGGTACGTACGTACGTACGTATGTAAATTACGTTTCATACATGTAGATTACATTGTAATTTGATATATATATATATATATATACGTTTTCGCACAAACTAAACACACTACAGCATTAAACATGTTGGGCAAGCATTCAAATGAAAATTTAATATTGAATGTGTCGACATTTATAATGTTAAAAATATCTGTAGAACAATTATTACATATATATAACATATGTTTTTTATATATAGTGTTCTAAGAAAATGTTCCATATCCTCAGAAACCCATCCTAAACCTTTAATATAACCCTAATACTGACCGTAAATACTAACCATAAAATAAAAGGTTTTATGAAAGTTTATGAAATAAAAGGGTTGATGATTAAAGTCGCAAACTTTAGAATATCAATTAACATATATATATGACGTAAAGGGTGACGTAAAAGGTAGCTACCTTTGACCCTCAAAATGTCTGCAGCTATATGGATGATTATATACTTTTAAAAACTATTAAAAAAGAGTTGCATAGCATTGAACATGGTTCAGAATCTTGTAGATATTGTCATGAATTATGTAAGCAGAAATTAAAAAGATTTTCATTATGCAAGACTTTGAACAATAGAAAGTTTTTGATAAAGCTAACATAATTTGATTTTACCATTCAAGCTAGATAAACCAGCAGATTGGCACTTTTTTATCGAATTTTTGAATTACTTATTGTTTGTACTCTTTGAGCAGTAATAAAACTGAGTGGTATCGTATATTCTTCAATTCTTCTTCTTCCACCTATATTTCCTGAAGCATTACTAAACCAAAAATCACCGTTTGAAATGATTGGTAATGAAAGAACAAACCATGTTAATTATGCAATTATAAAGATACTAGGAATAAGTTTTAGCATAACTGAAATAAAACAGAAAGATATTGAGATAAGATTTGGTCAAAAATGTTTTTACAACTCACAACTTCTTACCATGTGAATTCAAAAAACGAAAAACATCAGAAGCAATTGACAATGAATTCGACTATATTTAAAATCGTAACTACTGGCACAATCTGACTCTTTCATAAATATTTATTATTAGAAAAGTTAAATCGTTTAAAAGATGTATATTACCAAAAGTCGTAGAGATATTTGTTAGTTTATTGAAGGATAAGGCTGAAGTGGGTGACTCCCCTGATCGTAAAAAATAAACAAAAAAATAATATATTGGAAAATTTTTTGTAACTATTACATAGTATAGAATAGCTAGTGTTAATTTTTACCGCAATTTTTGATGATTTAGTTAGTAAAAAAAATTGCATTGACATTCTGTATTGCAGTATTGGTAGCTTAATTATATACGCAAATGCATTTGAAGTATAACCTACTCTCGTTATAGTGAACATTCAAAGTACATATACAGTAGTATTCTCTCGATATAAGCTATAATGAAGATTTTTTAAAGTTAAATGACTTTACAATAGCAAGAATGAGTTGTATTTAGAGTTAATAACTTCATGCGGGTAGTCGTAACACAGTTCTCATCGTATAATTCTTAATTCTGAACTTATTGTTGACAAGTTTGTTAGGATCTGAATTCGACGCATTTTCCACATTATCCAGGTAATAAAATACGGCATAACTAACACATATGTATAACAAGGTTTAGCTCTTACAATTAAATTAACTTGATATAATGAAACTATTAGTAAATTTAGATAAATTGAAATCATGAAATTCTATCTTGGAGCATAATAAAAAAAATGTAGAGGAATGATCACGTGAATAGTTAGCTTTAACCATCACAGTGAAAGATTATCGACTTAAATTTTATTTAACGTTAATGCAAGCCAAAGTGCCTTGCATTTTTGTGCGACACTTTAATTTATGACTAACATGCGAAACGTATTACAAAATCAATCCGCATGAAATATAAATACCGTACTGTACTTATAAGAACAAAAACATTATATTTCTTTATTCATAAACATGGCATCAGAAATATTTATGGGCGATATGCCTGAATTAATGGAACATATTCTCAAGAATTTAAAAGAAGAATCTTATTCATTATTTTCATGCGTGTTAGTGAACCGACATTGGAGCAAAATGGCAATCCCTATTCTTTGGCGAGATCCATTTTCATTCGAACAAACGCCACTGTTTATATCAAGATACTTTTCATCACTTAACAAAGAAGAAAAACATAATTTGAAAGAGAGTGGAATAATTATAGAATATCCTAATACATTATTTAATTATGCTAAATTTTTAAAA